TATGTTAAAATATTTTTAATTAGGCTCATAGGTCAGATTAATTTTTTATTAAATAGAGTAACGCATGCAGGGCTATCTGCCTAAGAGGAGAGATGCATCGTGAAGGAATTTTGAAGAAAACTGACCTTAGTGGTATTAAAAATATACTTCTAATTTTCATTCAAATTTTTCATATATATTTTTTATGTAAAACTTTCGGGTGTATGCTAAATTAGTGTAAATTACTTTACACGAAAAATATAGTGAATGCACAGAAATTAAAGTTTGCACATGCCAGAATGATAAATAGGAATAGTTGGGTATTATCATGTGCTGCAAAAAGCATGTATCTGCCTTGACAAAATACTAAATATTCTTTTTTATTTATAAATGTCTTTGAAATGAAGAATTTATTCACTTATAAACAAAGTGAAAGTACTGTGAAGAAATCTAATGATTAAATGTATCTAATTTTATAATGATTATAATGTTATCTAAATATATAATAACCTTAATATTGAATTATAAACATAAATTGAAATCCTGTTGACAAACATTATAAAACTATTTAAGCAGAATTGTTCGTATTGGAAAGCTCTGTTTAAAAGGTATTGAACGCAAATCGCACTTAAGACGTAAAAAAGAGTTTTGGGAAATGTATGTTAAATAAGGTAAAAAAAAAAATCTGATAAGTATAATTAAAAGAATATCCTTAACGTATAACTCAGTTACAGTTTTATAATACTTAAAAAAAAAAAAACAAAAAAAAAACTTATTATTCCGTTCATAAATGTTTCAGAGAAAGTCAAATACATTAATATATTTAATTTGCTAATTCCATATTCTAATTTAAATGAACCGAATTAACCATTAATATAAATTGACTTACATTTTCGATTAAAATAAGCCAAAAAATCATTCATATTTAAGAAAGTATTTAAGAAGAAGCTCTATAAATAGAAAGAAATAATGCATAATTTTATATAAATACATCAACTTGATCTAATTTTGTACCTAAAACTAATGAATCGAATACCTTAATTTTTTTCCTAAGTTATTAACGAAAACTTGTGAAAATATTTCATTCAATTAACCATTCTGAAAAACTGTCCTGGAAAAGTATAGCATTTAATTCGTTCATAATGAATGTTGTTTTAAAAATTGTTGTTTTACACATAGGCTCTGAAGTTTTTATAAAAAGAAAAATTAATTTATGTATATTTTGCGACGTAATTAACAAAATATTACACCCGACGCGTCAAATCTCATAGAACTCAATTGTCAATACCCAAGTTTTGGTCACCACGTAGGGATCGCCGGTGCTTCAGAGCAGGGTACGGAGAATCTTGTTTAGGGCGACTCCATCTTACTTCCTACCTCCATGATTTTTCCTTAAAAAAACCCTTCTTGATGGCATCCCTGCCTTTAAGCTGATAAACTCTCTAGTGCTTTGCTAACGCTTACATAAACCAACGTTTATTAGCTGCATGCTCAGCATTTATAGATTTTGTAGTCATAACAGTATCATCTGCATACTGATCAATTAAACTTACCCAAAGTTGTTGGAATGTCATTTGTGCAGGCATTACAAAATATTGGCCCAAAGACACTATCCCGTTGAACACCACCTTTGATTTTGCTACTGCTTTAACCCATTCCGGCACGCTACCTTTTAAAGTTGGAGTTTTGATTTTAAAAAAAGGTAGGCAGTCTAATTAGGCCTAGAGGAGTACACAAGTAAAATTTTGTGGGAGTGCCAAAGTGTTCACACTGATTCAATAGAGCTTCGAAAAGAGTGCTGAAACGAGCATTGTTGTCAACGAACTGACCGATGATATGCGAAGAAACAAAGAATACAGACTCTCAGTTGTCCTAGATTATCGGTGAGCCCGTTTTGGGCCCACCTAGGGTTCGCCGTTTGATTTTAGGCAAGATTTCTAGGTAAAAATTTAAACTAATATAGAATAGGAGATTAGCATCAGCCAAAAGAATAACATAGAATTTTTTTCAAACAATTGCTTTTATACCATATAAAAAATCTGAAGAGTCTGAAAATGAGGGTCTTAGAAAACTAAACATGGTAAAATATATGGACTGGTTTTGTGTTGAGTGCCATCTACTATAAAAAACGAAGGTTCAGAGTAACCTATAAATCCTTTTCATTCAATTTTTGTGTGCGTACAGAAGGAAATTTTTAGGTGTGTCCAGGCCGGACACACTGTGCCGCAAAGGGTTAATAAGCATTTTCAATTGTGACGGTGAAATAGCTGTTAGTGATGTAACTGATAATGATTTTTACAATAGCTGAAGGGCAGCTATTACTTGCTAACTTACAGGTACAGAAACCTATAAATCCTTTTTCATTCAATTTTTCTGTGCGTACAGAAGAAAATGTTTAGGTGTGTCCAGACCGGACACACTGTGCCGCAAAGGGTTAATAAGTATTTCCAATTGTGATGGTGAAATAGCTGTTCGTGATTTAATTGATAATGATTTTTACAATAGCTGAAGGGCAGCCATTACTTGCTAACTTACAGGTACAGAAAAATCGTTTGACACGAAACTGACGTTTGACAAAAAACTGAAATCGTTTGACAAAAAAACTTAAATATTTTTTTCGTGTTAAAAGAATTTCGTGTTAATCAATATTGAAAAAAAATATGTTCAACAAAATTAAGTTTATTAGAGTACATTTTATTTACATAGATATGTATATATGCATGTATTACACTGGTGTGCAAAACTTAAGCACCAATGTAAATTTTAATCAGATAGCCATGAAATTGTAGAAAAGGCGTTCTTGCGTTCTGAACGCTGCATCCCTTTGAAAGTTGGCCATCGGCATCACCGCTTACAGTGGTGCAAGGAGCGCAAAAACGGGCATCTCATCAATGGATCGTATCCTCCTTACGGATGAATCGTTTTAGGCCACAAGCGATTCTCCAACAAAATTGATTTGGAGAGAGGTCAGGCACGGTTTAATCTCAGTAACATTGCGAAAAGAGACGTTACAGTTTCCTGAAGATCTGTCTGGAGAGGCCATTATGCTGAACGGGCGGGACGGAGTTCCACGTTTTCGACAGAAGTTCTGTAACCGGAGGATCGGCTATCGTCGGAGGTGATCCTTCCCCATGTGCGCTTTCGAGGTGCCTGGGTAGACTTCGTTTTTAATTGACAATGCACGGCCACACCGGCTCTTGCTTTCAGAACTACTAAAAGTGAAGATATCCCTCGAATGGATTGGCCAGCGTGCTCCCTGATTTTAAACCCCATAGAACATGGGGGATGCATTGGGGAGACGCTTGTGACACGATTACATCCTCCGGGGAACACCCAACAACTGAACAGGATGCTGATTGAGGAATGGTCACTCTTACCTCAAGATGTTGGAAAATTCTGGTGCTGAGTATGGTGAGACCGTCGAAGCACCATTGCAGTAAGGGAGGGCATTATCCTTACTAAGAACACTGCTTGTTGTTCTTCCTCTTGACAACAATCATGTGTAACGATACTATGAGTTCAATAAAGCCTGTTTTGTTTGATTCCAACTGTATGCATTGTATCTTTTTAGAGCAATTATGCTTTCGTCATCGTTTAAATACAAAATGCTATCTCTTAATTCTGAATTTCGTGCCTCTCAGATGATTTCTCGTGGAGTTATGCCAAAAAGAACACCTGTTGCTTAAGTTTTGCACACCAGTGTAAATAAAAATCAATGAAACAAAAACATCCACAAGAACGTGATGAAATTTAATATAAAATTTTGAAATTTTTTGAAAAACAAAACATTTATTGAGTTTTGGGAAAAGAATCTGATATTTTTATTAGCATTGTCTTTTTTAGCATCAAATTGTTCAATGTCGCCCATTTTGTTAATCATTTCACCATTGGATTGTGCGTCTAATTAACTGCGCATAGTTTTTTGTTATGGTGTTCCTCATTTAGGATGATGTGTGAGCAGGAACTGCGTTATTCATTTCATTTTCGTCTTCGGAATCTACATTAATGATATTTTTTTAGCTTTGAACAAACTCCAAAATGTATTTGTCTGCCGTAATTGGGGCTATGTACACATTATCATCAATTAATGCAGCGAATTCTTCATATAATGCAGTAGGACAGTCCATTAATTTGTAGATGTAATAGAAAATGAATCATTCAAATGGAAATGAAACATTTGTAGATGTTTAGAATTAGAAAATGTAGTCATTCTTTTATTTCACAGTTTACATTTTTTAATTTGTTTCATTATATACAAATGTTTGTTGAGATATACATCATTTAAAAAATTTTGCTTATTTGCAAAAGCAAGAAATATCTTCCTTTACACTCACAGCATTTCTTGTGGTTCCGTTAATTATACAAGACACTGACTGATCAAAGCTCACAATAGCAGCTATTCTCCACTATTTTATCACAGAAGTTATTTACAATTCATACAGTCTGCATTAGCAAAGAACATCTGCTAATTCTATTTGATCAAACTGCTTTTTTATACATCAGTTCTACTATGAAGGTCTTGTTACATTTCCGAGCAAATGAGTATTTAGCGGCGTTAACTGAGAAGAGCAGTTAGTCTAGAAACGGCATTTTGCGTTGAATTAACAAAAGCATATCACTTTTCAGATTGTTGCCAACATATGTAATCGCCCTGTATTATATTTAAAGAAATTAAATAATGAAGAATATCTGCTGAATGTTTGTCGCGTTATGAAAAACAGCGGTACCTAAAACCATCAAATTTTGAATAATGTAGTGCTCCACCCAAATATGAGCACCAGAAAGCCCGAACTTGGAATTTGTTTTATTGTTCATTTCCTATTTTGTGAAATTTTAGCGAATTTTTGATTAACAAACTCAACGATTTCAAAGCGAGCAATGGCAACACTGTACGAAAAAAAAATATTTTTATCACCAGCGCGCGGAACTGTCTATTTGAAATTCTAAAGATATGCTGCTTTTAAATATTTTTAACCCATAGGAGCAATAATCCAAATGCTCTCGAAACGCTTTCAAATTTCTTTTTTTTTTTTTTTTTTTTTTTTTTTTTTTTATATACTTTTTAAAATTTTTCTTTCCTTCTGGCAAGGTGACTTCAATCAATAGAAATTAAAGTTCCTTTCGCATAATAAGTCCTATTACCTTCATCTTTAGCAAGAATTTCTTTATTCCAGGGAACAGGAGAGAGAGGTTTTTTATGAAAGTTGGATGCTGAAGGCTGGAATTTTATCTCGGAAAGTATTCCTTGCCATGGATCTCCTGGATTATATTTAATCCATCCTGTACTTTCTTCTTCAGACAGGGGGCTCAAAAGATGTCCAGGAAAATCTTTTGCATTAATGAATAAGTCGGAGTGCTCGGCTGAGTTCGATCCGTAAGGATGAGCTGAATGACAGTTTATTGTGCTTTTAATCATATCAGATGCTTTTTCAGCTACCATTATCGTCGGAGCATTGGTGTTGCCAGATGGTACGATAGGCATCACAGATGCGTCGATGACACGCAGTCCTTTTATAGTTTTGACTCTGGAAATAAGAGTGAAATTAATTTTCATTTTAAATAAAATTAACGAATGAAGAAGTTTCACACAGTGAATTAAAATACAAAAGAACGTTTAAGTATTCATTTCCTGCTGCAAAAAATAGTCATATGTATCGTTTATAGAAAATTTCATTGCTATACATATCCGTCAGACCTTTTAAAGCAATTTTTCCTCAGTATATCTCCTTAACTGTATGATTACTATATAACTACTTCAAAAATGAAAACCATCTTTGCTCTTTAACACATATTCGTGATCCCGTGCATCTGCTGCCAGATTTTGACGTATTTAAAATGGCTATTTCTCCATTTTACTTTTAGTAAGAGAAACTTGTGCTGATTTTTAATTGAAACTTCATAAGAAAAAGGTCAGGTTTGTCGACAAGTATTATTATTTTGCTGATTTTTAATTGAAGCTTCATAAGATAAAAGTCAGGTCTGTCGACAAGTATTATTTTGCTAATTTTTGATTGAAGCTTCATAAGAAAAAGGTATCATTATTATTCAGGATCAAGATATTCTAGACAAGTATCATTATTTTTTCAAGATCAAGATATTCTAGACAAGTATCATTACTTTTTTAGAATCAAGATATTCTAGACAAGTATAATTATTTTTTCAGGATCAAGATATTCTAGACTAGAGCTTTATTTAATTTCTGAGCCTTTCTCCCCGTTTCGGATCTTAAGAGAATGCTACACTAATGTTTGTAAAGAATGCAACACCATGAAGGAATTGTCGGAAGTGAATGAAATTTATTCCAAATATTACTGATAGTGGTACAAATAAACAATCAAATTTATAAGACAGGGAAAAATAAAAAAGGGAACGTTGGAAATCAGTACATTGTGTATCCACCACGCTGAATGATGAGAGCCTGTACACGTTGTGGCATTGAATCATACAGGTTCTGAATGCAATCCCGGAGAATGGCATTCCACATGGCTTCGACTTGATTCCAGAGTTCAGTCCTAGTGTGTGCCCCACCAGCTGTACGAGTGAGTCGCCGACCGATGAAATCTCAGACATGCTCAGTTGGCCACATATCCGGGGAATAAGCAGGCCATGGAAGAAGCGAAACCTGTTGTGCCCTAAAGAAAGCTTGCGCCGTCTGATAAACATGTGCACGGGTATTATCCTACTGAAATACAGCGCCTAGAACACATCGAAGAATGGGAAGACCTCTGGTCCCACACCTTCTCTTAAGTAGTGATCACTGAAGTTGCCCGCAATCTGCACTAGATGGGATCGACAATTATGCCCAATAACTCTCATGCCTTAGTAGTGTAGTGGTCTGCACGCTGGGCGCGTATTTCAGAGGTCCGTGGTTCGATTCCAGGCGAAGGCGTTTCTCATATTTCATCTTTCATGCTTCCACAAAAAATCCTGCTGTCTCTACAAAATGTCTTTAAGAGTTACTAAATAATTGTGAATTATTTTACCTTTCCCGAGGCTTGGACATTGCTCCCGCCTCACCCTCTTTCAACCTGTTCAGTTACTTTTCACGCTGTCGCGTGCCGGTAATTGCCTTCTTTCAACACCTCTTTCACTAATGAATTGTCGCGGCGGGGGTTCTCCTGCCCCTCGCTCAGGTAAAAGAGCAGTTGAAAGAAGTTTTCGTCCCACTGTTTCGGCATCTATCCTCCATCTAAAAGGGCAAGACACGCCCTCTCAACTTCTATTCCAGCTCCCGCGCCATGAGGGAAGGACGTCTCTTCAATGAGTTGCCATATAATTGCTTATTACACCATCAGCACCGGCAATCAAGATCTTCAAGCAAAGTTATCAATCTGTTCGCTTAAGAACCACATCTCCCGCAGATTTTAAATCTGCCTAAGAATATTTTCACCGCGTTCTCCTTTTATTATTTGCACTATCCAACACAAGCCACATGCCAATGAGCCTATTAATCGTAAACTCTTTCCTATCTGCTTTTTGCTTTAGTGTTTGTATTGTGTATTAAAAAATTATAAAAACCAAAAAAAGTATAAAATATAAAAGTACAAAAAAATTATAAAAACCTAAAAACTTATAAAAAAATTATGATGTTTAAGTTTTTAATTTCTAATTCCTATCCCTAAACTTTCTCGAGCCTGTGGCTCCCTCTATTAGCATCAAGTAAATCACTTATGCAAAATTTTTCTTATTTCTGCTCACTATTAGTAATTCTGATGTGGAGGTACATGGTTTTGAACCATAGGCACTCCGAAACTTGCAAATCATTGGCATTGGCATTTCGTCCCACTGTGTGGACTTCTTATCGATGTCTAGACTCTTTAAACCCGTAAATGTACTTGTTCATTTATTCAGCTATGCTTTCTCTCAATTATTTCAATTTTTCTTAAAAAAAATTTGGAGGTTATTGCTTATTTTAGCCAAGGTACTCCGTAAGCCAATGCCTTGGTCCTTGGTCCAATAACTCCCCACACCACGATATCTGGCATTTGTGCTGTATGACGCTGGATAACACAGTATGGGAGCAGACGGTCCCCTCTGTAACATCTCTTCCATCACTGTATTTCAGATTGCAGCGAAATTTATCTCAGAAAACAACTTGTTGTCACAGGGCACGCCACGTACTCTGTTGCCGTGCCAATTGAAGTCTGAGGCGTCTGTGATTCAGCGGCAGTGGAACGCTGCGTAAAGGAACCCTTATTGGTGCAGGAAACGGCGAAGAATCGTGGAGCTAGACAACACAACACCTGTAGCCGTGCTCCAACATTGTGCTAACACACGAGAGGACGCTGTATGATCCGTCAGAGCCATGCGGATGAGGAGTCTGTCGGTTCCCTGTTGTGATATTGCGTGTCTCCCTGCCAGGATTTCGCCTTACTTCGTTCTCCTCTGCCCATTTCTTCCAAACACGCATAACTCTTGTAGCATTACGCTGCGTGCGGGCTGTGATTGCTCGATATGAAAGTGCACCCTCTCGCATATCGACAGTGCAGCCTCGTTCGTACCCCGTTAGTTGGTGGTTTGGCACCCTCCGTTGTTGAAGAGGCATATTGATCACTTATTAAATCCACCGCAGATAGAGAACAATAAAAAGATTTTAGCGCAACTTTACAGTCCTTTTTATACATGAAATGAGCAGCCAGTTCTCATTCCACGCATGCGCAATTGCTTTGTAATTCTAATCATTTGCATGTCTTACTTCACTTTACATTTCATCTAAGTTTGGTTCAATTTGCTTAATTCCTTCATGGTGTTGCAATTTTCACAAACATTAGTTAGATATAATATATGCTCCAACGTACATTATAAGTAAACAGAGTGATCCAAATATCTGGCAGTATAGAAAATGTATAAAATTAAAGCATTATTTACTTATTTAATTTATCAGGTATGGTTTATTTGCCCGGCAGCTCGTGTATCCGACAATGATTGCTTGACACCAAGATCGCACGAAGACTCATTTCCTGACAGATTACTATTCTTTTTTTCTATATCAGTATAATTAAGCCTATTTGTTTATTTTGCTAAAACGTTTTTACTTAGGTTACATTTGTCCTTCTTTATAAGAACCATTTCATACTTTTTATACAGGAACAAGAGTTCAAAATTTCGTTTATATGCAAATGAGAAATATTGCCACGGTGATTGACTGACAGAAGTTTTGAGTTTTAATTTAACTAATAAGTTCATTCAAAGTTTCCCCTTTGCTTGCTTTTCAATTTAGTTCAGTTCTATCAAAAGGTAAAAATTATTCGGCATTTGAAAAGACTCTTCAATCTTAATTCTTTTGGCAAAAATTTTTTACTCTAATATCTGTCTGTAACTGGAGGCAGTGTTATTTAGGTAAAGAAAGTCAAACCTATCATAAGTAAGTTGAATTTAATTATTACTGTTAAGGCAGTTTGAGATGGTGAAAAAATTTATTAGAAGTCATTTCTTGTTATATATAGAATAAGTTAATCACTAGGTTATAGGTTATATACATGTATTTACGGTAATGTGAGTCACGGAATATGATTTTTTATTTATAATGTTTTAATTCCAATAAAGGTTATGGCCTTAAAAATACTTCTTTTTATTATTTACAATAAGTAAAAAATAAAAATATATTTTTCGACGAAATTAATCTATGAAATTATTTTGTAATTTCCCTAAACGTATTATACTTTGTTCCTAATTGAACTAAAAGAAACAGTGAAATTTACTTTTTTTTACACATGCCAGTCTGCAATAGTGCGTAGCTGTTTTTCCGTTAATGTTGAAAGACTACTAATTTGTAAGGTTAATATCTCTATGTCATAGGCACCGATCTAAATGAACTTAATATCTGCTAAAAATATTTACTCTTTTGTGTTACCTTTTATATTATTTAAATCAATAAAAATGTTCAAAATCACGCTAATAAATTAATCTAAAATGTTTTTACTTAATTTAGAAATAAAAAAGAGATATTTGGATAATTTAATTTTCGGATTTGTGGTTATTGGATTACTTGTATTACAGTAAAAACGCAAAATAACTTACCGTAATTGTGGATCCACAACAGTTGTGGGATCTTTCGGATGTCCCATTTTTGATGTGCCCACCATATGGCTGAAGGTAACAACTACTGATCTAACTTGGCACCAGAAGTAGAGGTCATCATTGCCAGCGTACTGCTCGCAGCCAGGGTGTAAAGTTGTGAAAGGAACGAATCCCACTTCTTTCATAGGAGGACTCAGACCTATTCGACGACAGGTTTTCATTCCTAGCCAGAAGAAATCAAAATTAACAATCGAAAACTTCTGTTAATTTAACGGACATGATAATTAGGTTGCATTGCATAATTAGGTGGCACTGAATTTTCCCTTTCTGAGAACTATCACTACATTAGAAACCAAAATTATCTTGATTAAACAACTTGCATATATTTTAAAAAATAGGTTGTTTAGAAAAAGGTGGCCTCAGATTCTAGTCTGTTAAATACGAGTATTTATTTCAAATACGTATTTTCCTCAACCAAGGTTCAATAACCAATCTTCAATAACCAGGCGTAGGGATTATTTAAATTTTCTAATAGTTTTTTTTTTTTTTTAGTTTAGAAACCATTTCCTTTATTATCTTTCTCTCACCTACAATTCCCTGCCAGAATGAGCTTTCAGTATCGCATTTTATGTAAATGAGGTAGAACCAGTAGTTAATGGGAAGTTCAGTTACTTCCGCAGAAGAGCTCAGAAGTTCTCAGTACAACATGTTCTGCCTTCTCGCCACGTGTTGCTTTAAGCCAATCTTACTACGTTTGGCCGTATCCTTACGTGTTAGTATTCTACGGTGAGGTTTAAATATGGCCAACTCGGTTAGTTACTTCTGTACAGCTTCGGCTAAATTTTAGTTAGAATTAGTTTAGTTGCTTATTTTCTATCTTAAGTTAAAGCCCAAGTGAAGGCTTTCCTGTAAGCCCGAGAGGGGCCGCCTGTAAATAATCTTTGAGATAAATAAAAGGGTATTTTAACCCTTCTTTGGACTATGATTCTGCAGTTGTAAGAAGAACAGAAAACAGTCGCTATATTCTTCTCTAGTTCTAGTTACCAAGGACATATAACTTAACTAGAACCATGTAAAGGTTTATCAAAATAAGGTAGAAAATATTATAAAATTCAATTTCAACGTTGTGGATTAAAGGGTTTGCAAATATGAAATCTAAATTTTATATGGCAGCTGCAAAGCAAATATTCTAGACAGTAAAATATGTATCATGCTTCAGAAAGTTAAGCACTCAAAGTTCCATAAACTTAAATGCAAGATTCTTCAATATATGCGTTGAATTCGTTATGAATCATAGAATCCGTTACAATAATGAGTGCTGCTTCTTTTACGTGTCGAATTTGTGTAGTCTTCGGCTACAATTTCTTTTTAAATTATAAATTCATTTTTATGTTAATTTAATTATTCGTAAGTGGCGGAGTTTTGAGTTTACTCAAAAGTTTTTCTTTCTGTTCATTTCAAGCTTAAATTAAAAGAACTCCCGAACTGCAGTTACTAGTTTTTTACAGTTGGATATGAAGAAAACTGTCTAGAATGTAATTTAAGATAATCCCGAAGCATTTGATAAAAGCTAAGATTCAATTTAATGATAAAATTATGAAATGAATTGAATTATTTGCAAAATTTCAATACGTAGATGTTAAAATCATTGCACTTAAATTACTGGTAATTCTCAAAGACGCAAATAATGTTACTGAAGTGAGAAGAAGCTTTTCTAGCGGTCGATATATTGCTGCTATCTGTACTTCCGTATAAGCATTACTATACGAAGCAAAGATTCAAAATTTAATCGATTACTCTAGTTCGAATTTCCTTGTACAGAAGCCTGGCGGAATTTTTAACTTCAATACTTTAGCATGCTTAGTATGGTTGAAGTACGATCCGCATTTTAATGGGCAAGTAAAAATTTGCTGGAAACTCTGAATAAATTTCATATTTATGCAAATTAAACAAATAACTACTTTAATAAAAATCAAAAGTGCTTGTAATCATGATTTGAAATTTTTTTTAAATTATAGGGCCTGAAGTCTAATTTCACCCGTCAATATTATCTAAACGCTGTGATGTGAGCTAACACTGATAGTTTAATTAAATACCGAAAGTACACACACACACACACACACACACACACACACACACAAAAAAAAAAAAAAAAAAAAAAAAAAAAAAGGTAGTCTATAACTTAAGTTTATTCTACTTTAGCACTTGTGAGAGACAAATTAAAACATTACAAAACTGAATTATAGGTCTCCTGGACATGGCAGAGAAACAGTCTGTAATTTAAACGTTTCTCGATTACACATCTAACTAATTCCTGAGTATTCCTTCGAGTCGGACAACTAAAAATTGGAACAAGTCTTAACTTACCACGAAGGTTTATGTTTGGAAATTCGTAGTCTTTCGGGAAGGGAAAGAATATAAGCTATTTTCTCCCTCCTTTCCACATGCTTTCGCGGTGTGATTGGAAGCATATTCGACGCGTATTCGGGAGGTAGGGAGTTCGAATCCCGGCGAGGGCACTACACATATTTCATATCTCTTGCTTCACAAAAAACCTAATGACTCTACAAGTTATTTTGATTTGATACCCTTTTCTGTCTTGTCTTATTCCCATCGGGTTCCTCGCCAGTATGTAAATCAATTAAGGTGAACAAGAGTGTATTTAAATTGAAGTAGACAAAAGTTTAGTTAGAGCGTGGTTTCGCTATAGAAAGCACACGTTGTTAATTCTACCAGCTGTTTAAAATTTGAATCTCGGCTTCGCATTCTTACCGCCGAAATTATTATCCTGCTGGTATATGTTAAATCAAATTGTGTAGTCTTTCACTACTATTTTCATTTTAATTTAGTTGTTACATCATCTTTTTAAGTTCCTCACCACTGTGTAAGTCTGGGCCCTCTGTAAACTAGTGTGTTGAATAAAAGAGTCTTTTACACCTTAACCTTTTTGCATTCATCTCCGAGTCTTTGGGAAGAGTGGTAACTTAGACTTTTTAGTAGATCTACTTACATTTTATGTTAGCAAAGAAGACTACAAACTTTATACTAAAGATCCTACAAACTTTATACTAAATCGTTTGACATTCATATCTAAAATGAGTGAGTATGGGACGAAATGAAGCATGAAGGAGAAACGTAAACTGAAACTGAATTAAGTGAACTCCGCTAAAATGCTATAAAGTGACAGAAAAGATAGTTTCATATTTATCAGAATAAGTTACTTTCTTTTCTCGACAGCTATATGAGGTCATTTTCTGTACAGGACCGATTATCCGTTTTAAAGTAGTGGTAATTTGGATGATATATTTATCATTGCAATTAATTTCATGCCAGTTCTTTGCCCAGAGGCTACAATAATAATATCACTTATTAAATAAAAGTATTCTGAACTACGAAGGCTATGAAGCGAAAATATATTTTATAATGACGAATACCGATATAGCTTGATCTAATGAACAAGACAAAGACAAGAAGCCCCTTATATTTTCATACTTTTTATAGAAACCATTGCTGTGAAGGGATACTTCTTGCTCAGAAAGTGTTTGAATTCATATGCGAAAAATTGCTGAAGCCAAATACAGATATTTCTAAATATTTACATGCCTTTGTCGATAGGAAGCAGGGCCGTTTTGGTTTATTTTGATTATGGTAAAGCACGCAAGGACTATCTGCCTAAGGAGAATATTTTGTGGATGCTTTGTGAAGGACTTTCTAAGGAAAACTGGTTCGTATTCACGGTACATTGAGAAACTGGTACATTGAGAAAATCACGAAAACGCCCATGCAGCCGGCCCATCCCCCTGGATTCAATCTAAGGCTCTGACCTAAGATCGACGGGACAAGCCTAATGGCGAGAACAACGCAACGCCGCCAGAGTCTTAGCTAGGGTTTTCAGCGCCCAGGAAAAACTGAAGATTTCGCGCCCCCTACTGTTTGCCAAGGATGGAAAACATTAAATTTTAAAATGTCGTAACATCAGTTTGGCGCCCCTTGGATTCTGCGCCCGGGGACAGATGCCCCCCTTGGCCTCGTCTAGCTACGCCCCTGAACGCCGCAGAATAGTACACTCAAGAGAATCGAAATCAGCAACGTAGCGTGTTGTATGCAGAATACGCTCTGATTCTATATTCTAAAATCTTTCTTTAAATACCATCTTTTTTCTATCTCGTTTGAATATCACGCGAGCTAGAAATTTACATTCTGGCAGGAAAATGGAAATCAGGAGGATGGGAAAGCGGCTTAACATAAAATAATTGGTTAAAGAACTAAACAAGTACAAGACCTTACAAAAGGCTGTTTTGTAAGGACCTTAGATCCTACTTCCTTAAATCGTACTTCAAAAGCTACCTTAAATCGTACTTCAAAAGATATCGAAATCTACGATTTCTCAAATAAAATATGAAACAAAAAGAGAGGTCCAAATTAGCTGGACCTTTTTAGATAAAATTGCGCTTTTAGAGAGTTTTAAAAGTATCTTCTGATCTCATTCCTGAAGCTTCCTGAGTAGTCGATTCATCGAAATGGTTGAGATGACAACAGTATATTTCTCAGAAATTTGTCTGTAAAGACATCTTAAGGAAGATTATCTCAGTGTTCTTTGTCAGACAACACATAACGGGCCATTCTTAGTATTGTTACAATTGAAAATAGAACATCCTGAGTTCTCACATTACTCTCACATGAAGCAGTACAGGTTTATGCCCAGACATCTCTTTTTCTTCTCGCTTGAAACAATTTTTTTTATTTCTACCACTGAAGACACTACTTTTACACTTCTGGGATTAATGAGAATAGTTTTAAATTTGAAATTTTATAACGGCTGTAGAATTCATGATTGTATTTTTCCGAACGAATCTAAGAATTAGCGAATGTGAAACGTTCATGTATGTAATTAAATGTTTAGTTATACGGAAGCTCTTACCTTCTACTATATCTTCCATATCTTTGGGATCTTCAAGATAATTGGGATCTATTACTGGAGGGTCGTAAGGATTTGTTGACTGAAGTGTTACCGTTCCACGGCTTCGTGGTTGTACTAATTGAGCCACACAGCCTACATATGGTTGGCCTTCATAAGGTCTGTAAACTTGTTCATAAACCTGAAAAACATATCATATATTTAAAAATATTGAACAGATAGCGGACTTTCAAAAAACAAATGATTCCACTTTATAAGGTTAGCCATACTAGTCGAGAAAGTACTTAAACGCAGTGCTTAAGTGTAGAAGCCTACTAGGGGTTAAGCATTAAAGTGACTAAATACTATTCGACCAGGGCTAAAATTCTAGGGAACAAGCTGGCTGCATGACAATTTTTTTAGATTTCCTTATATGTAGCACAAATACGAGCTAGTTTTTCGTGAGTTTTGCCGTATTTAAGTAATTCAATCCCTATAAACATAAGCGCAGAGTAATTAATTCTGTAACAGTAGACGAAAGGAGTTCGATTTTTATTTAGTTTCTGTACTTTTCTCTGTATTTTTCTTAGATATTAAGCTACTCATCGATAAGATCATGTTTCATCTTATTATTACCCATGCTTGTCCCTTCTGGGAATTTGCCTACAAGTGAAATCGTAATAAGCTCTAAATTATGACTGAGACAAATCTCACGAGCGTGATGGTTGCATAGAAACTTCGCAATCCATAAAGAAATTGGAATAAATCCACTTGTTTCTTACATTGCAAAAACTGCAAAAACATTTCTAAAATAAAATTATTTTAGTTAATATCCTCATTCCAGTTATCAGTTACAACTTCCATCTCAAGGAGGATAAACGTCATCTTGGAACTAATCTTAGAAATTTTGATGAATTTGCACAGCCTTATTAATTTCTTTTTTCCTATTTCCTTCCTCTCCCATGTTTCGGCTTACCTTATTCTAAATTGTAGGATTTCCCTGAAAAGAGTCTTGCCCCCTTCTCATTCCAAAGTTTACTTTACTCTGGTACCACTCTTTCTTTCAGTTAATCACAAAATGTGCTCAGAGCTAAGCTTTTCGTTACCAGCCAATCTCCTGTTTCCTCCTTTCATGTGATCTACGGTAGACAGCCACGAAGGAATAAATCTGAATCAAAATCAAACGAAAGGCCAATGATAAGGTTTGGTCTACTACCAAACTTAGAAGCAGTATGTATCGAGCAAACTAATTAGCGGGCTCAATCAGGGCACTACCAAGGAATAAAACTTTTCCTAAAAGAAAGAAATTCTTTTGTAAATAGGTCTTTATAAAACTGATGAGCACCATAAAATAACTTGAAACTAGTGAAAAAACATTTGCTATGGAAAAATTAATGGAAAGGATGGATCATGTAATAAAGGCAAAAAAGGAGAGAAAAGTATTACGGCTCAGAAAACTAATGATTAAAAACAGTGGATTACGCCCAAGAAAACAGCAACTAGATTCGAATCAGATGATGAAATTATTAAAATAACTCAAACCAAAAGATATGTCCCATTCTTAATTAAAATGCAGCTAAACGAACAACAAATTAGTGGTAAGAAATTGGGAGTTAACAAAGAACAACTGAAGGTTTCAGAAGACTAACGCAACTCCTACAAAAATCTGATATCCTATTCCATACTTATCAGCTTAACAGCATTTATCACTATTGTTACAAGGACACAAGATGCTGCAAGTCTAGACAAAATCACAGAAACAATGGATGTTTTCTAAAGCCCGAAGAAAATTCTAAATGTCTACTGTCAGAGATTTCCATGTCAGTTCTTATCACGGATATGAAGTGCAGAATAAAAATTTCGAATGCCAGACGAAAACTATTCCCATCCCTAAAACTGCTGAAACTGAATTCAAGAATAATGATTTCCAGCACAACTATCAAATGAAAAGTTTGAAGCCAAAACATCTGAAGAAATATACAGCGGAAAAAATTAAGAATAAAATTACAGCCTTCTAGGAAGAAATTATTAATTTATTTAATGATTTAAGGATCCGAGCATCAAAAACTTCCTTCATGAAATAATTTAAATAGTCTAAAACATAAAAACAAGAAGATATCCCGAAGAAAAATTTACAGCAGGTTTCCAAGCAGCAGAATTAATAATAAGATTTGGTAAACATATATAGAATAAATCTGTTTTTAGGTGCGGAGAATGAGTAACCAAGCAATGGCGCTTAGTGTCGTTTCAAAGAAAACGAATTCACGCTTCAGGACTGCAGCTTAAACGTTTTTTTTACTGGCATGCGCCAGAAAATTGTTTTATAGATTTTCTCTGTTTTTCAGTTTTTTGAACTCTTCCACTCTTCAGATTTTTACAGTTTTTATATTTTTAGATGTTTAAAGGGACCATTGGGTGTCATCGAAGCAGAAGCCTTTTATGAAGGCCTGTAGTTCTTATCGAGTGATGATTATGATCCTGATCCATGCCATCATTTTTGTTACCATTGTGAAAACTGATATTTCTTGATATGCTTACTACATCTCTCAAAAGACGTTTCTATTGACCAACTTAACTGCTGTCGCTCTATGAAACAAAATCTTAATGCTTAATAAGATACGCTGTTGCGTATGCTACAGACTTGTAAAATTCTGCTACACAGGTATAGGGCTTTAGCCTAGAAACCCTTTTCTAGATCTTGTGACTATCTCACTGATGACAAGTCTGACGATCAACCACCTCTCTTCCCCTACCATCCAGGCCTTTCGAGAGGCCTTTCACCTCGCTAGTAATTTAGGTGCTCTCATGCCACACAGACATTATATACTTTCAAATATCAGTGCTGTTGCAAGATTCAAACTCTAATCCAATGATACGACAACCAGCAGCACTATACGCTATACTGATCAGGGAAGCTGCTGATGTTACTACAGAACTTCACCTGCTGGATGTGGCTAGTCGAATGAAAGTCCGTTTACTTTATAAGGATATTGTGGGGAAGATAACTTCGGAAAGGCAAATATCTGTTTCTCGGGTAGCAAACTGAATACTATAGGAAGGTCATTACATGAGAAATCTGCTGGATAGAAGTAAAATCATCTCGGTGTCATATTGAGTTAGCAAAATTAACCATGCTGAATAAATCTATCTGAAAAGGAATGAAGTGTATGTCATAAGTACTGCCTACTAACTGTTAAGCGATAACGATCTACAGCGCAGCACTGTGCATTCAAATCAAAATTAGCGACTTACAGTACCTAAAGACAGACAGACAAAGTAGACAGAAGTCTTGTTTTGCACCCGCTAAGTCTTTCTGCACCGATGGGCGAAAAATCAAGCTTAGGTGCGAAGGAAAAAACCTCCATAACAAATAATGTGGTTACAGTTACAGAGAATGTGCCCAAGCACCTCGTGGAATTAGATCGCCTCTCATGTGAATATCTGTTGTTTGAAAAAGAAATATCTAAAATAAATATTTACAAAAATATAATATATTTTTTTTTAAACTTGAGCACCTTCCATCTACACAGGGGTTCTCAACCAGGAGGGAATCCTTCCCGAGAGGAATTTCATAGGTTCAGGGGGGGGGAAATGCAGTTAGCCTTTTATTGAACTTATAAGGTATTTCTCTCGCCTTCTTAGCAAGCCTTCGTGGTGTGGTGGTCGGCAAGCTCAGAGCCTAATTGAGAGGTCCGCGATTCGATTCCCGGCGAAGGCGTTGCGTATTTTTCATCTTGCCTGCTTCTAAAAATACCTAATGTCTCTACAGTGGCGCTCGAACTAAAAAGGTGTTGGATGATGATTCTCCTCACCCAAGATTTGGCGATTGGGCCCCCTAAAAACCCCAGCCGCCCTCTAAAAGAGGGAGTGTATAAGGTATTTTCCCGCCTTCTTAGCGAGCCTTTTGCACTCTCAGCGCGTAATTGAGAGGTCCGCGGTTCGATTCCCGGCGAAGGCGTTGCTAAGTTTTCATCTTTTCTGCTTCCAAAATACTTAATGTCTCTACAAACTGTTAAGTATTTAGTTTTAATTTATGAATATAAAAATTACTTTTATTCAAACTTTGGTATTTATCAACATTTTCTACACTTTTTGTTGTTTAATGTATAAAAAATGCCAAAAAAATTATATAAATCGTGATAAATGTTAATAGTTATTCTTCGAGTTTAGGAAAGGAGAGGGGAAAGATATTTTAGCAATGGTGAAAGGGGTGCATGGAGGAAAAACATTTGAGAACCCTTGATCTAGACCCTCTATATAATCACGCATTTGATACTTCATGTCTCATAATCATGAAAAGATAGAAGACGCAATACAATCATATTTTGTAAAAGTCGAGATTTACCTCTTGTTTCAAACCAAATTGCAAAAATGCAATACTCGTTGAAAATTCCGCGAAGTACAATTCAAAATTCGGAAAATTCCTTTTGGATTTTACAGTATCCTTTTCCAGAAAAGCAAGAGCTGAGAGAAATTCCACCGATGCCAAAGGACCTGAAATGGAATACATTTACGGTCACTATTTTTAATATATTCAGTTTATGCTTGAAAAAGAAACTTTCAATGTTTATTCAGAATAATGTAAGTTTTAAGAAGCATAGTACCTTGAAAAATTATCGACCACAAAATTATTACTGTGGAAAAAGCCATTTTTTATTTAAGCCCACAAAATAAGCTTCATTATCTTAGTTCTTATTCCTTCCCAGCATTTATACATTAGAAAATATTGCTTAATTTCGGTTCATGTATCTGACACTGATGTTAATGTTGTTTCCTTGCGTTTTAATTTGAAAATTTACATTGGTGCAAATCTCAGGTTATCTTCGATTGCTCATCTCTGAATTCACCGATCTATTGGAGCACTGGATTTATTAATAACCACAGGACCCACAGAAAAGCCGCCTAGACGGTATAGTGGTTAGGGGAGCTGGCTGCGATACTAAAGGGCCCGAGCTCGAATCCTGGAGAAGGCATGGTTGTAACTGAGCGTCCCCCTTCATAGGAGGCAAAGGTGGCCAACCTATTAGCTGCCTTCATAATAAAGTGACCACCACTTCTGGCTTTAGTTAGGGTCCAAGCCGAAGTCGTCTGAGGGCCCGCCAGTGGTAAAAAAAAGAACCGACAGGAAAGTAATCCGTGATAAAATCGTGATAGCAAAAGATCAATAATCATATAATCAATAAATCATAAGAAACAGGAGATAATTCTGTGTCAGACGCAAGAATACGAGACCATCTTGAATCCAAACGAATATTCAAACTTTGGGTTACCAGAATTCAACGAGCCACCTTCCAGTATTAAACTTTTATGCTAATAGAACTTTTTAGATAGTGAAGCTTTTAGTTGTTGAACTATATGTTGAACGCAATAATTTTGCATTTTTTCCCTGTCCCAATCCATGGTTTCATACACTAAGTACAGTATTTGTGATAAGTTGGAAAATAAGCTATATAGTTATTGAATGTAAAAAGTAAATACAAGTAATCTCCAGAAATGATTTTTTTTCGCCTATTTAGATTTAACACATCAAATTTATTTTAATGTCATTAATTATAAAAAAGCAACAAAATAGTAATTCAGTTCTAAACGAAAGATTTTATTTTATAACGCTGCGAGAAACATGTTAATGTATTTTTGTCATTTTTGCCAGCACATTAGCTAAAATGTTGAGTTATAAAATCTTGAAAAAATAAAAAAGCAATCACAACACTTTTTAATGAAGTACTTTGCAAATCTTTTAGCTGTGTTTAGAGTTCAGTGATTTCAAACCTTGAATAAATACCACTATTCATAAAGTTATTCATAATGAATATTTAGCATGGTGAGAGTTTAATTTATAAAATTAGAAGTACTGGAGCTCTGTGGAAGGTGACCAGGAAAAATGAACAAACATAAATACATAAACTGAGTAATAAAGTAATTGATAATTAATAATTAAAATAATAAAATAATTAACAACTAAAATTAAAATTCAATAAAATTGAAGGAGATGAATAAAAATTTAATAAATTATTAGAAACTAACGACAAAAAGTTAAATAATAAAATAAAATAATGGACCTCAGCTTATTTGGTCCTCCGGCTGGAATTAAAATTTCAGTTATAAACTAAACATTAGCTCACTCGGACTCCCGCTGAATTTAAGACCTTGTAGAAAGAGAGATTATTCTTTTTCAAGCTTTCCAATGGGAAAAAGCAAAACGGTTAATGAAACTAATGTGGACAGAGAGAGTGCTAGAAACAGTATGAGAATATGGAATGAAATTTTAACAGAAATGTGTAGGTATGAAAACAAAAAAGAAGAGTCCAGCATTTCTTCTGACTATGCTCCTGCCGATATAATTCTAGCCGTGAATCAGAATGCAACAAGGGAAAACGAACCTATTTATCGATTTTTAAGATTTGCTTATAATCAAAATAAAGTTTCAAAATCAAAAACATTTTCTTCAGAAACTATGGTTTAATTACATGAAAAAAGTGTTGAAATCATCTTAAGCAGGGCTCCGGGGCGCTCCGGCTGGAATTAACCATTTATCTCAAAAACTGAGAAATACAGGAACCAGGCTCTGGTGCGATTTAAGCTCTGAGCATCACTCTTTGGGATAAATATCAGCGTTGTTACAAATATTATTTTTATCCAAAATTATAATAATATTAAATTATAATGAATGCTCATGAAATAAAACAACATTAGATTATAATAAATGCCCATATAACTATAATAATATTACATTGTAATAAATGCCCATTCGATTAATGCAAGACAATCTTTAATTAAAGAAAAATTCTAATCATGGAGTATGAGAGCGTCGAATAAATTTCAAAAAACATTTCGATCTTTAAGTTCACGTCCTTGTCTTCAGTCCTTTATTTTAAGCTCAAGTTTTTATTTTTGGTTCTTAAATTAATTACAATCATATAGTTAAATAACTGGAGAATAAAATATTGTCGAGAACAGCTTCCTAACAGTGGAGTTTTAACTAAACGTTAAATGTTTTAGAAGAAGAATTAACCCCGTGCTACAAAAATTACGAAATTTGCAAGATTATAATTTTTCGTGCATATGCTTGCGTTTTCTGAAATTTTTCTGAGACCTGAAAATGTTTTTTCTTAATTGTTTCTAATTTTTTCTTATCATTGTGGCATTCTTCCTTATTAAAATAAGTTTCGATAATGGAATACCGTGATCAAAATACTACAAAGTGAAAACAAGAGATTGAAAGGATTTATTTAGCAATCGTTTCTGAATAAACCTCTTATTAAATAAAGCGATGTAACGGTTATGTTAAGCTCAGGTATATGAACATACACAATAAGAAACTGAATAGATTTTTAGCAACTGTTAATTTAAAACTCGTGATATAGCTCTCTCGATGATCAGTTCTGATATTACAGAATATGCTCTGCAGAAGATGCTCTAAATTGAATCATATTTATAGCTGGCATCAAAAATCTTCAAATTACATAATCCCCTTTCATATTCTTCTGATTTCATATTCTTTAAAAGTCATAGTCTTATAATTTTGAAAACTACCCCTATACGCACTTTCGTCATAACATCATATAACACGGTCGTCCACCAGAACACCAGTTTTTGAACTTACCAGGATTAACTCTACACATAATGAAAGTTTGTTTTGATAAAAAAAAAAGAATGAGGGGTCACAGATTGCAGTGCTTGAAAGCTTATTAAAGTCACTATCGGCCGTCTGTGATAAAATTACAAAAACATTTTCACTACTCTTTCCCACTCCAAAAGAAATGAAAACAAAAACTAAGCAAGCTCACCCTGAAATAGTAGTTTTGTTTCTGCAAATACAAGCATTTCCGTATTGAAACCCATAAAATTCAAACTAAGCGTATCTAATCTTTGTTTATAATGCTAATTATATTACTTGTTTCTCTAAAGTACGTACCTTTTTACTACAGTTTTGCAACTGAAGAGAAGAATGCTTGAATTAAGCGAGGAATGCTTTAGGATATGTTCCAGAAAAAGTTTAAGGTATTTTTGTATTGACAAGATCTCAAGGTTACTTGCATAATCACAACTTAGCATGCAGTGAGGCGGCTCATGTATGTATAAAATGATATTTGCTAATTCTCAGAACAAATTATAAAATATTAAATGAAGAAAACACTGGACGTATTTATAATATGAAGTAAATGGAGGAAATACACTACAGTATAATTGAGAAGAAAGAAAAAAATACAGTATAATGGAGAATAATTGAGAAAATACAGTATTTGTTGCAAACAAAAGAATTCAGGCATTTTTTGGGTAACTGCATTTAATTAGATATACTGGTTTTAGTTTTCTGAACTGACAATGAAGTAAGATTGTAAGAAATTGAATTTATATACAAGCATGCCTAGTATCAAAATTTATAAGCTGCACTGACTTCTTTATAAAGACGTTTTACTACATGTCGTATCGTATTATATATTGCATGCATATCGCATTACTGTATGTCTTATCGTATCATTATTCGCTTTACTATTATGAAGTGTTATCTTATGTGTTCCGTACGAAATATATGTATTACTTAGAAAAACTTCAACCTCACGTTGATGTTAGTTTAGAAATCATGCTTTATGCATTGATATATGCATAAAGCATGATAAGGTGCAGGCTTGTCATTTTCAATGAGATTAAAAATGCTACTAATGTGAACAATATTTCCTTAAAACTGGAGTATTTAACACTGAATTTTGTTTAATTAAAAAAATTCAAGGCTATGTGACTCTTTTAAAATTTTCCTTCCTCAATTTGGCTGAACGTCATTTTATGTTAATGAAAAAATACCGTATAACGTCTTGTATGCTTGGCTATCATAAACTGAGCTCGACGTTAGAAGACTGTTTAGTGAATAATCTGTAAGTACTACGAAGTCAGGTGAAGGATGTAATGAACCCTTTATTAACTCAAATAAAGTTCACATATGGCACTAGTTCGTGCTTACAAAAAGCTAAATCTTTTGGCTAAGGTAATGAGGTAAGGAGTAACTTAAAATTAATTAGTAAGTAATGAGTAATTTAAAGGTAATTAAAAGTAATGAGTAACTTAAAATTAATGAAGTTAGCTATAGCCTAACTGCTTCACAGGTTAACTATCGTGCAAGATGGCTCTGACTCGAAAAGTTGGGGAAACAAGCCTAATGACAAGAATAGCTCAACGCCACAGAGTTTTAATCGCTAGAATATCAAAGATAGAAGCATGGCCTTCAGGCATGCAAAACATCCTCTGATTTTGCCTTCCAAAACCTTCTTTTAAATATTAACGTTTTTCTATCCCATTCGACTATACGCACGTTAGTGCATTTACATTCTGGCACGAAAGTGTGAGTTGAAAGCAAGAGTGATGGGAAAGCTTCTTCAACATAAAATAACTGTTAAATAAATTAAATAAATCCCCATAACCATTTTAACAAAATTTAATTTCTAATTGATACTAATATCATGTCGTTAAACATTTTTATTCTTTTCAGCATTCTTTCAAAGCTTAATAAAATATTTTTTCATTCAAGAGTTTTATAACATTCATTATCAATGCCTTAAATTTTGAAAAATTAAATAAAATTTCATCTAAATTTATTTTATGTTATTAGGGAAAATGTTAGTTATCCCCATACAGTGCAGTTTAAAACTGGAAAACGAAAGAGCATTTTAATGGCGTTACCTGTTCTGTTTCGAATATATTCTGCGATATTGATAGGGTTGGCAAGTTTGGCTCTAATTTCAGGAATGGTAGGTTTCAGAAGAAAATTTACATCTGATGCGATGTGATCCTGTAAGTTTTTACCGACTGGTAGGTCAGCGATAACCGGAATCTAAAAATGAATTTGCGGACAAAATAATTTAAAAAATCTTAATATGATAACTAAAAGGTATAATATAACTAAGAAAGACAATTAAAGATATATTAATTGATATTACTCATCATTTGAATGCAAAAATTAATCTATATAAATTTAATTTCTTATCATTTTTAAACAGAAGCTTAAGCTTTGGTTTCAATCTCCTTTCTTCTTCCAGTCCAACGTTTGCAGCCTTCAGGGGAAAAAAAAGAAAGAGAAAAAAATGGGCATTTTAACAAACAGGAAATAACATATTATATATATTTTTTATTTTCTGATCTTGCCATTGCTGTGCTTGTTAAAACAAAGCGCAACACGTTAAGCACTCTGAGAGCTTAACGAGAGACTTCTGCTACCTGTGACGCTTTATCTATGATTGATATTTGGGAACAGAGACAAAAATCAAGCAGTTTTTTTAACAATTTTTTTCCAGTGAATTTGCACGAATGCATTGATCGGAAAGAGCCGAACTCATTACTCGTTTAACCGTTTCATCTCCCAGAACGTTACTTAGGGAGCTATACAAGGTGTAGACCAATATTACCCCCTTGAAACGAGTTGAAGGCATACACTTAGAAATAAAACTACGGGAGCCGAACCGTGACTTCGGAAATTTAGAGTTAGCTATTAGCTTCCACTAATCGCTATATTGCCCAGAGGTGCAGTTTATCTTGGTAATTATCTTCTTCTTTGGCAAGCATTGTTTACAGAACTTGTAGGTGTATATTACTAGTTTGTGAATGGAAGCAAGTCACACAGATACAGGCTGAAAGAGCAGGAGCACCTGTGCATCCACGTAAACGTATTAGGTATTGCTGGGTGTAGTTAACTGCTAGGCTTGGTTTGAGGGTCTCTCACCCTTGTTCCCCTACTATCAATCTCTTGAGAAGATTTCGGTTCGCTGAATAGTTTGAGTGCCTCCTTACCTCACAGATAATATATGCTTACATCCATTCCGTCTCCGTATTCAGACCTGGGTCCTTTTATACGGCAGTCAAGGTCACTAACCACCATTCTATCTAAGTGGAGAAAGTCAGACAATTATTGAACCAAGTTAGTTCAAGTAATCCATCTACGGATAACTCATAAAAGCTTCTTTATAAATACTCTATTACTGATTGCCATGTGGTACTATCATCACGTTAGTTTACGGAAATGTGAGGTCATTGTAATAGTAAGTAATACAAAAGTGGAAAATATTATCTAAAGATAATTTGAAATAAAAAGTATGGTCAGTTCGCTCATTAAAATTATTCCAGCGTTTTATCCATATCGAGCCAACTACGAAGAGCACGGGTTTCCAGTCGAATGTTCTCAATCCTCTGTATACATTCGTTCAATAACCTTTTAAATCGGCTCGCACACTGAACTACTGGAATATTACTCTGACGCTGATGCTTACTGAGGAACAACGCCTTTAGCGGACACGTAATAAACTACGTTGATCTGAAAGCAAACATTATACATCAATCTCCCGCAATACAATTTCTCCCTCCTTCTTAGCATGCCTTCGTAGTGTAATAGTCAGCAGGCTGGGCGCGTATTCCAGAGATCCGTGGTTCGATTCCCGGCGAAGGCGTTGCTCAGTTTTCATCAGTCCTGCTTTAAAATAACCTAATGTCTCTACAGTGGCGCCCGAACTGAAAGGGTGGTGGATGATGATTCTCTCCACCAGGATTTGACGATTGGGTCCCCTAACCTCCAGTCGCCCTTTAAAAGAGGGAGTATATACGGTATTTCTCCAACCTTCTTAGCATGCCTTCGTAGTGTAGTGGTCAGCACACTGGGCGCGTATTCCAGAGGTCCGTGGTTCGATTCCCGGCGAAGGCGTTGCTCAGTTTTCATCAGTCCTGCTTCAAAATAACCTAATATCTCTGCACTATCGAGATATCAAATGAAAGAATCGATTGTAATGCTGAACAACCTCAATTTTGAGATTTTAGCTTGTAACTGGAAATAAAGGATTATATAATGCAATATCTTTTCAGCACGTTGTAAGTTTTTTGATTTCTTGCATTGTTTTTATCCGAAAACAAAGCGCAGTTTGTTTCTTCATATTTTGCAACTATTTTTTAAATGTTTCGTTTCCTTTTTTATTTTCCTCCTCGCTTATACAAATTCCATTCCATTAAGGTTTCACAACATTTGCCCAGAAAATTTGAAGCCAGAAATTTGAATTCTGATCAACATTCCTTTCGATACAGCCTTCTGAAATGCAAACTTTAAATCAAGCGCATTTTCTATCTTTATTTCAAGATATTTTACATTTTAGCTAATACATAAATGTTTTTCACTTTTTATTTATAATCTAGAAAGGAAATATAATTATCATAATTTTATATATGCTTAATTTTTATCATTTCCACAATTCTTAGTGTCATAATCATTTATAATCTCCGAACACTTCAGTGCATTTAATAATCCTTTTGATAGCAATGGAAATTTTACATAAGCAAATATTTTTACTTTGGTAACAGACTTCTTACCTTAAATCTCTCCAGCTCTTTTCTGGGACCGATACCCGATAGCATCAATAGTTGCGGGGTGTTTGTAGTGCCTGCTGACATAATGACCTCTCTTTTGGCTTTGACTTCATATGTATTGCCTTGGAAATCGAACTGCACACCTATTGCTCTTCGATTTTTAATGATAACCTAGATTTGAGTTAAAGTAGACATTTTTTAAAAGACATTAAATATTCTTCAAGTATATGAGTCAAAGCAAAATACTGATTCTCTATGGTACTATATTGTGATATTATAGCTTAGATATAATCCCTATCATCTTTATTATTCGAAATAAAGACACCTGATCACGGCATCAGACATGGCTATGTTTTACATAGCGTTACTTAGAGAGTTACACAATGTGTAGACTGGCTATGTTTAACGGAATATGGTTAGGTTTATGTGGAACATGGCTATGTTTGTGTGTTTTTATGTGAACATGGCATGGCTATGTTTAAATGGCTATGTGGAACATGGCTATGTTTAACAGAACGTTACTTAGGAAGATACACAATATGTAGCTGATATTATACCCGTGAAACGAGTTGAAGTGAGTAGTTTTGCCCCGTGAAACGAGGCAAAACTACGGGAGTCGACAGTTTAACTTGATAATAATATTCTTATTTAGCAAGCATTATTAATATAACTTGTAAGTGTATATTACTATTTTTTGGAGGGAAGCAAGTCAAAGAAATACAGGTTGAAACGATGTGCATTCACATAGGCATATTAGGCCTATATGGATGAAATTTATGCAATATGGATGAAATATAGGGTGAAAATTTGTGCATCTATATAGGCATATTAAGTATTGCTGGGCATAGTTAAAACTGCTAGTCTTGGTCTGAGAGTCTCCTCCCCGTTCCCCTACCATCAACCTCTCAAGAGGGTTTCGGCTCGCTAAGTAATTTGAGTGCCTTCTTGACGCACAGACACTTAACGAAAAAATTTGATTGAATCAGTATTTTTTTTAAACATCTGTTTGTTGCCATTTTTCTTTTGCTCGTCAATTAAAATGTATTTAAAATATATTGTTTTGATATAATGTAATATATGTCTCGTCTGTAATTATGTATAGCATTATAACAGCCTATCATTAATCAAGTGGCTAAACCCTTAGAACACTCATTGCATATTCAATTTTAGCTTGTTCAGTTTTTTTGGTTTCAGTTTGTAGCAGCTGAATGGGGTAACTGCATATTTCTTCCTTCACTTATATTTTTAATACGAACCAGTTTCCCTTAGGAATCCGTCCACGAAGATAAACTTTACTTTATTAAAGTAAGACTCGCGATCTTCTCCATGCTTAATTAACCCCCATACCTCCCATTCAACTCTCTGCATTGATGTCCTTCAAAATCCATCTGAGGATTCATTATTTCATTTCTAAATTTTTATCAGTAATTGATTACGATCCGAAACGGGGTTTCATTGTTATAGTTCTCATTCCAATGAAGAATTGTATGTTGAAAATGAGTGCAATGTAGATATGAGCCAATTTCCCTTAAAACTTGAACGCATCTCTTCCCTTAGGCAGACCAATCTCGTTAATGCAGACAGCCCACGAATCGCTTTACCTTAATCAGTTAACCACTTGCGCTACGATTAAACTTCACAGTTGCGGTGCCGTGCGCTACAATATAACAAGCGGTAAAGTGTCTCATTTACGCCGCTCCGCGTCTGCGAGTGCAATCCAGAGCTGTAACTCGAGAAATAAACTGTTTGAAATTAATAATTTCTTGACTTATTTAATAACTTCGGACGAATAGTAATATATTTCGCAGAGGAAACCTTTTTAATTAACAACGAACTTATTTATTTAGCATTCTAAACATTACAAAAAGAATAACATTCCGTGAGTTATCAAGCTCAAAGCAATATATAAAAAACATAACTGTTCCCACAAAAAATCTACATTATAATGCCACAAAAAATCTACATTATTAAATTATTTGTGTATTAACTGAGTTCTTGCAAGTTCCCAAACATAAACAATCTCGTTGTTAGGCGACGTGTGCACTACGTTATTTTCATTTTTGCGATAAATGCCTATCGACGTGGTGTTCACGTCGCTCGCGGTTTGAGACAAAAGCGTCTCGACGTGCGTGGCACGTCTTTTTAGCGCAAGTGGTTAAAATAACCTAACCTAAAACGTACTGACTGTAAATGAAGTGCAGACTTTTTACTGAACTATGCAATAATACTTAATGTCAGTAACTGCTGAAATAGCTATTTAAAATTCGTTTCAGTTACAGACCATTGTTTATTAGTTTGTTTGCCAATAACCATATTAGCCTTTTGATGGTCATCAACGAGCTCAGCTTACTTCAGTTACGAACCATTGTGGACCCAACGGCTCGCATGACTAATTTACGACTGACTGATATAGCTTGTATTCGGAAGATAGAATTGCTTATCTCGCAACCGCCAAAAAGGTCAAAGCTCTACTTCTTCAAATTAGTTCAAATTGTCTTGGTTCAATTGTTCAAATTAGTTCAATTGTTCAAATTCTTGCAAAAAATTAAAATTCTGAATCTTAAAGTGGTAAGTATAAACTGAATTTCCGAAATTAGTCATACTTCATGCATGATTTTATATTATCAATTGGTATTTTACAAATCAGTACTTATCTGACTTCTACAGTCATAAAATACTCCTGGGAATCATGTAGGAAAGTTATTTCGAATTACTATTTCATGATCGAATTCTGTTTCTCAGTCACTTGGATAGAGACTAAGTAACGTGTAAATTATTAAATTGCATGATGATTACCTGTTTGATGGCCATATTGTGAATTATTTAGTTTAGATTTCCATTCTCATTATTTAGTAATTTTATTAACTCTCATTATTCAGTTACAAAAGAACCTGTGTCTTTTCATTAAAAATATCTGTTGATTAACGTGAAGCCTGCGAGTTTTATTTATATTAGAAAAGTACACGTGTTTCGCTACAAACTAAAGCTGGGACCTTAAATGTAATTTAGCAATTTTTAAAAAAATTATAGCATTCCTTCTTGCGTGCTCTCGTTGTGTAACGGGTAGCACGTTCGGCTAGCAGTCGGAAAATTTTATTTTTCATGCCTTTCGTTCTAAAAAGCTAATATCTCTACATTTTTATCCATTTGATAACTCGGGCACCAGCTCCAGTTACGTTAAAGTAATCTGAAATGAGGAGAACAGATGCAGTTGTAATCTAGAGCATTATTTATTATCATGGAAGAATTCCTTCCTCTAATCCTTCCTCCATGATTATTACATTCCCCCTCTGAGGGCACGGTGGCTTGGCAAATGCGGTCAAGACAGGAGACTGACGTTAATTACGGAAGGGGAAAGTAAACGGCTGTGTCAGGGATCATAAGGGGAGATATATTTTTTTTTAAAGTGTTTTAGGTCTCATTCAGTATCAGTATATCAGTATATCATTAACGTAATTAATGAAAGCCATTTGAAACCAAAATAGGATTTGCATTAGTAAATTATAGTTAAGAATAATGGCCCCCATTGTTCTGATTATTACTGGAATAATTTAAAGATTAAATCCGATAGTATCTTAAGATGTTTTTGCAGTTGGAAAAACAAGAATATAACTCATTTTGATTCACCTTTCTTTTCTTTGTGAATCTGTTTGCCATACAGTGATCAAATAGGGAATAAGTGTTTAATCCGTAAGATTATAAGTATTGATTAACATTTCCTATAACTACTTCTAATTGAGGCTTTCTAAGAGCAACCCCCTTAATTTTGACTCGCAGCTTTTAATTTTAGACTAAAATATGAGCATAGAATCTACCTTTAAACAATGGGATTTTTTTTAAAACACTATGGCATGAGAGTGCCTAGTAATAATAGTTTTAACGTCGCTAAGAATCATTTTTTCTTTTTTCTGGATTCTATATTTTTTTTCCAAAAAATATTAAAAGCTGCAATTGACGAGTACGAGCAATGCATAATACATACATATATAACGTAAGCATACCATAAAGAAATGATACTGCCCCAACAAAAACTGATCGACTGCTATTGAACTCTAAAGAGGGGTTTATCAGAGGGAAAATGGCAATTAAAATCAATTAAAATTCCATTTAATTGATTTTAATTATTTATTACTGTATCGATTTATTAACTTATTGTAATGGATTGAAATATTTGAATATGAATTAGCTGAATATTTAAGAAAAATATTATGACTGCGAGAATAGGAAAAAAAAAAAAAACATTTTTTGAATATTTATTTTCTTATAGAATGCAGATGAATTCATTTTTACTCAACGAAAATCAAAATTTAGTAGCTAATTAATCTGCCTGTATCGAGCACTTTAGTTCAGTGATCCGTATTAATGTGCACTTTTTAAAAAAAATGTAAATGCTTCAAGAATAATTAGAAAAGGGCATAATTCTCTTCTTAGCCTTAAATTCTTCAATAAAAAAACTGCATTTTCAGCTATAACTAAGTGAAATAATTTTCTAAATATAATTCAAAGCATGAAAAATAAGGTACATAAACCGCTTGGAAATGGAACTAGCATTGAGATTCTTTAAGAAATATGGTGAAGCTTAACAAAAAGTCTACGAAGTGAAGTAATTCCGTAGAATATTTTCTAACTCTTTATGATTAAATTCACACTCAATTATACTTTATAACCGACATGTAAATTACTGATTTAATGTATATATGTGGATGTGTGTCTGTGTGGCTCACTAGTGGCTGAGCGGTAAAGTCGTTGAACCTTGGTAGGTCGAATCTGGGGTTCAAATCCCGGATCGAACCGGAAGGCTGTATTGGCGTTTTCGAGGTTTTTCCCCACGTGTGTAACGCGCATAACGAGTCAGTTTTTGCTTAGAAAGTTCTCCACGAGGCATTCCTTAACTCTTACGCAAATAAGCCATCGAATGCTTTGCTATAATCAAACAAATCAGACCAAACAATAGATATATAAACATGTAGCTTAACAAACTCCTATATTTTATGTATACTTATAAAATAGTATTTACCAATATGTATGATTATTAAAAGAAAGGAAAAGTCGGAATTTCCTAATTGATTGTATATAATGTAATCCCTATGAAGGCCCTGACAACTTTTTCTCACTTTAAGTCGTAACCCAAAAAGAGAACAAATTAAACTTCAGATACGTATACAATACTG